AAGACGAATAAATATCTTACATCCAATTCATAGGCAGATTTTTTTTATTTTTTTATTTCCTTCTTTAGCCAAGGCTTTTCACGTTTTTCTCCTCACTTGCCTCAAGCTAGCCTTCATTAGTGAAATATATTTGACTAATGCACTGGTGGTAAGGTTGTGAGTTTTTAAGGTGGAGTTGGGGTTCAAAACCTCCTTCACCACTTAAATATTTTAAGGGAATTCTATTATATATTAATTAATTTGAAAATAAATATATAATTATCGGGTCGGGTTCGGGGACGGGAATGTCAATACCATCCCTTACCCATACCCGATAGGAACTTTTAAACTTAATGGATCTCCATACCCAATCCCCATTTTTGCCCTGAAATAACCCCCCGTTAGGGCCAGGGATTCGAGGACCCGACCTGATGAGGATTTATGTCATCCCTAATTAGGTCCTATTTATCAGCTTTTACTTATAAAATTTAGGTTTTATTTTATAGAAAAATAAGCTGATGGGTTGTAGGTAAGAAAAAAAAATCAAATTTACTAAAAAAAGAAAGTAGAAAAAGAAAATAAATAAATAAAAACTTACAGATCCCTCTCTGGCATATACAAATTTATTTTTTGGAGGATGACAAGTGGTACATATATAGCCGAGCTAAAATGAAGTCATCTTAACATAGCCGCGCTAAAATGAAGTCATCTTCGTTCAATAACATTAAATCTGATTTATTCGGATTCTGAAAATTAATGCTTGAATTGATGGTAAACCAGCGAACATCGAACCTATCTTCTAATGGAAAACCAGCTGGACCAATTAACCTTTAATGGAAACAATACAAATGCACAGTGAGAGAAAAATTAAAATTAAAAAGGTTTACTACCGCATGGATGCATGTCTTCGGGGTTATAAGGGCTCTTAAAATTCAAATAATCAATGGTTTGGAAGGAAACATGGAGTAATAAGTTTATAGTTACACTGATCTTTTGTTCAATAAAATGTAGGAGGTGGAGACTATTGTACTTCCGAGGATGAGAGACACTTTAAATGCGGAGAATTTGACACCCCGTGCTCTGTTTACCAAGAATCACAAGGAATTGGTGAAGGAAGGAGAAAGATGGATGAAAGAAACTGCAACTTCTTGTACGGTTGTAGGTGCTCTCATTATTACCATCATGTTTGCTTCAGCATTCACAGTCCCTGGTGGAAACAATGGAGAAACAGGCATTCCCATATTCTTGAAAAAAAAGTTATTTATGGTTTTTATAGTTTCAGATGCTATATCGTTATTTTCTTCCACAACTTCAGTGTTGATGTTTGTGTCAAGTGGTGTGGTTAAGAAGAATTTTGAGTTGCTTGAATTTGAGGCAAACTGGTCCAACAGTGGTTTATTGTGATAACGTCTCAACCATTAAGCTTTCAAAGAATCCAGTAATGCACGGTCGTAGTAAGCATATAGATGTAAGGTTTCATTTTCTTCGAAATCTTGTTAAAGATGAAGTAGTGGAGCTGCTGCAGTGTTCTACTCAGGAGCAGATTGCAGATGTAATGACGAAGCCACTGAAACTTGAAGTTTTTCAGAAGCTGCGAGACTTGATGGGTGTACGTAAATGGCCTGGAATAAACTGAATCTTTAGTATTCAGTTTAAGGGAGGATGTTGAAGTTGTCAAAGATCCTAGTTGATAAGGTTCCTTTGTTTTAGGGGCTCATTCCCTGAACGTGCTAATAACCCTCCTATACTTGAGGGACAAGTTTGTTATCTTGTTTTGAGTTAGTAAATTACCACGACTCTAGGTTGATGTAGTCGTGGGGTGTTATTTCACTTTCCTGTTATTGTAAGGCTATTTAATAGTCAGTTATTGTCTTTCAATTCAATAAGGATGCTTCTGAGTTTTCAGTGCAATATACCCAGTGTTCACAAAACCTCTCGATAATCTAGTTAGTTTCAACAGCTTCCCGCAGTGCTTCTGTTAAAATGACAGTTAAGCATAAGATACAGTTGTGGCGTCCGTTGATAGTGA